CTCCTTCTCTTCATTGCTTACACTAGGACCAGTACAGTCTGCCAACATCAAAAAGAGCATCGGTGTAGCAGAGGACACAGAAGCAAAAAAAAAAAAAAAAAAGAGGACACAGAAGCAATTCAGCATTGCACCTTAGGGGTTCAAAAACAAAATGGCAGGCTTCAGTGTCAACTATTTTCTCATGTGTTTTCCTCCATCAGGTGACACAAGAATCTACTTTATTTTACGAGGTAAAAGAACTGTGTGAATGTCTGCACACCGACACAGTAAATCACATGATTTGTACGGCTTTCAAAGAATAAACTGTTTTACATGGAAGTCTGGTAAATTATTTTAGAAACTCTAATATACTCCAAAATGGTTCTGAAAAGCTATGCCTACATCTAAAACACCATGTACTCTTGAGTCTTTGTGTCTATGCTTTTCATTTTGCCATGAAACACATCATTAAGTGTTTCAAAATAAATACCTTCCCCCAAACTGGCTATGAATTATGGAGGCTTTTTTTTTTTTTTCAGGAACTAGAGTGGAAAACAGAAGAACATATTTATACTGAAAGGTAAGTTTTGAGGAGATCTCTATTTTAAATACCTAATGAATAACAATAGGGTTTTCTTTAGCACAGAAATGTGTGTTGCAATGCCCAGTATATGCACGTGTTGGATGGCTGGCTGGGTTGGATTGGGCAGTGGGATAAGCAACTTAAACTGGACATGTCAAAGACAGAAAAAACATTTAGGTAAAGTATGTGGTAGAGGTTTGAGCCCCAGAAGGAAGCAGTTGACCAGAGAAAGACAAAATAAAGAAAAAGGAACCCACCAATCCAAAGCCAGGAATGCAGCCTTTACCAAACCCATGCTGAAAGCCAAAGAAGACAAAAGAAATCTTTGAGTGTATTTTATTATTTCACGAATAGATGGGAAGAAGGTAAGAAGAACCATAATCCCACAAACAAGCAGAGTGTGGAATGGCACCAAAAACTGGAGAGGCCAAGTTGTGACAACCAGAGACTACTTTGATCTGGAACTTATACCCATTTAAAGTTAACCAAGTGAAGTTAATTATGCTTATGCACAAAAGGTAGACATAATTATATACTTAATCTCCCCCAGTAATATGAACGAACGTGGATAAAGAAAAGGGATGCAGTTAATCAAAATTAGGATAAGCTAAAGAGGTCCTGGTGAAGCAATCACCCCCATTCTTCTTTGGGTGGCAGCTGAACAAAGAAAGTACCACCATCTACCATGCGCCACCCACTCTTCTATCTAGCACGTTAATATTGTCCCAGACTACAACATATTCATTTCACAATTGCTTAAAATATGGCTTGCCAATAGCAGGCGCTATTTAGATCACCTATGTGGAGATGAATAGCCGCCAGAATGTTTCTGGCCTTGACCATGTGCCTCCAAGCAGAGTTCCACACTTGTCCTCTCTCTTCACTTTCTACTCCATTCCCGATCCCATCCTGCTATCAGTAAGCACACCTCACTGCCAATTGCCAACTGTTCTCTGGTTCTTTCTGCCTTTCAAATCAATGGGTCTTTCTCCATTGGTTTCTCACATTTCAGATGCATTCTCTGCCTCCTTTTAGAATGGCCCAGAATGGGGCGCCTGGGTGGCTCCATGGTTAGCATCTGCCTTTGGCTCCAGGTATGATTCCGTGTTCCTGGGATCGAGTCCTGCCTAGGGTTCCCTGCAGGGAGCCTGCTTCTCCCTCTGCCTATGTGTCTGCCTGTTTCTCATGAATAAATAAAATTTTAAAACAACAACAAAGAAGGCCCCAGAGTCCAGCTTCATGTTCCTCCAAACTAAGGCATGATGCTCTCAACTGTATCTCCCTTTGAAATGTGAACTCCATTAGGGCATTTCCATTCCAAATCTCTAAAGCCAGAACCGTACTAGTACATAGTAGCCCCCAAAAGAGGTATTTGCTGAATGAATAAATGGGTAATACAGAGCTGAATGGAGTTAGAATTTAAAGGCATGGTCTCAGCTTCTTATGATTCAAAAGCCATGCTTTCCCTTTGCACCAGCAGAGTCCCAATCACCCCACAGGCCCCGCGGGACTCTATGAATTGAGTTTTCAACAGTGGTTTTGGCCTGGTCTTACAGACAGGTTTCCTACATGATTGCAAAACTGGTTTGCTTATAGAGACAATCAAAACGTGCTGGACCACAGGTGTGAGGCCACAGCAAAGTTACATATGGTTAAATATTCCCCCACTCTTCTGCCTCCCTAGAGACACTCATTCTGGTAAGCCCTGGATAATCAACACGCCTGCATTTCTGCACACCAGCCAGTGATTTGCAGCAAGAGAACTGTTTCTTCCTCTCTGTTTGAGTTCCTATTGATTCTGTAGTTTAGGAGGAGTCCAAGTGCTATCCAAATACCAAATGTTCCATATGGTACTGTTATTACCGTTCTCACTACCATGACGTCCAGCCTTCCTACCTACACTCGTGAGGTGCCTCACTGGAGTCTGGCAGGACATTATGAACTCTTTTCCTGACCTCTATTTGCCAACACATTTGCTTTCCTCTCTCCCTTTATGAACTTACTAATTTTATCAAAATAACACATGCATGTGTATAAATATGAGTTTCATTTTCTTACTCGCTCTTCCAATCATGTATAGGGGAATAATTTATGAGCCATTACAGAGGATTTCTTAAGCTAAACTGTCTTAATTAGGAATTCAGATGTTTTTCCTTTTATTGAAAAATATAGAGCTGTTCAAATTAGACTGTAAATGTGGGCCAAAACAAATGCGTGGCGACAGACACAAGGGTTGCAGAGTAGCCAGTGAAAGGTATTAGCCGAAGCCTGTCAAGTTGCCTTGTGTTTGTCTCCTTGGATGCCAAATAATCCTTTGCCTCTTTTGCCTTCTATTTTTCAACTGTCTGATGTAGCTAAAGGATTGAGGAACCTCACAATCCTACAGGTTTCCCTTCTGTGTTTATGTGGGATGAAGCATATGTTTCCTAAGAGCTGGGGGGTGGGGGTCTCTCACTCTACCTTCTCATTCATTTAATTAGGGGAAGGAAGCTTATTTATAATGGGGGAAGAGATGAGGCTGGTAGCTCATGCACAGAGCCAGACAGAGACTCTCCATGTGCAGCTCAAAGAGGCCAGCAAGCTTGCCTGACCTGAGGTGCTCACTGGAGCACAGGAGCAAGGCAGCCTGCGCTCACACAGTGACAGATGTCACGGCTCTGTGGTGAGCGGGTCTCTCTGACTTGCAGGACTGCAATGACTTCATTAATTCAAACTAAAGCCATTCAGAAATATATTACATTTTGGGGAGATACCAGAGAAGCATGAAAAGAAATTGGGAAAAGAAAAAATAATTTTCAACATTTCATATATATTTTGTTGCAACAACACCCTATGAGATAGGTACTATTATTATCTAAATTTTATAATCTTAGACACTCAAGATGTAAAGTAACTTGCCCAACGTCACACCCCAAGAAAACAGCGAAGCTGGAATTTGAATCCAAGCAGTCCGGAGTCTGCAGTCTTGTCTACAGTGATCTACAGGCTCTGAATCATATGGAGCTACCATAATTATATTGAATCATGCTCCCAATGTCAGATGGGCACATATATGCATAGATATATACACATAGATATGCTTTAATTTCAGTATAATTTCAGATCCATGTTTAATGTGAGCCATCTATTAAATACTTTTATTCTTATTAAGAAATGAAAAACTGTGTTTTCCATTGCAAAGTATTGCTATCCAGTGATATCATGATTCAATACCTGGCTGAAAAAAAGGGGGAAAACCTAAAACTCCCTAGGACCCCTTCCCTTATTGATTTAAGTATTATTTTTCAAATGTCAAAAACTAGTAAGTTTTAAGCATGCTACTGTCTATTAGAGGAAAGCTCTTTAAAATAGTATGATTTATAAATTTACAAGTAAATCGCTCCCTGCAAAAAAATAACACATAGGATACCATTTCTTATAATCGATTGGCAGAACTCTGTTTTCAAAATTCCTCAGCACTGGCAAAACTGTATGGAGACAGGTACTCTCATATACTGTGCCTCTGGAAATATAAACTGGTATGACTTTATTGGAAAGTCATTTGGCAAGAGGAAGTATCAGAAAGTCTTAATCCTTGAAAACTTTTAAACTCTCCAATTTACAGGTAAGGGATAAGTATCCCAAGGAAATCACTAGTAATGGCAACTAATATTAAGCTATAAGAAAATATTCATGGTAGCATAAAAGCCAAAAAATTAGAAATACCTTAATGTCCAACAGAGGGGATCAATTAATATATTTTAGGATATGCATTCAATGCTCTACTACATATAATCATTAAAAATCATGCTGTAGATATATATCTGCTGGTATGAAAAGAAGGTCATTATTACATTTTTAAGAGGAACAAAAAAGTGAGGTAATAGTATATAGTGTATTGTTTCCTACTACCAGGTGATGGTAGTCTCTCTAGCTGAATTTCTTTCTTTTTTTTTAATAATTTTTTTTAAATTTTTATTTATTTACGATAGTCACAGAGAGAGAGAGAGAGAGAGAGAGAGGCAGAGACACAGGAAGAGGGAGAAGCAGGTTCCATGCACCAGGAGCCTGATGTGGGATTCAATCCCGGGTCTCCAGGATCGCGCCCTGGGCCAAAGGCAGGCGCTAAACCACTGCGCCACCCAGGGATCCCTCTAGCTGAATTTCTGAACACCATCATTGGAATTATCTTTCTTATCAGTGCCTTATCATCCATCCTAATCAGTGATCTCAAAATAATTAGAAGCTATTTTCTTTCCCACAAAAAAAATTCAAGGGCTCTATTTTTACAGTACAGAGAAAGAATAAATAGCTGGAGACTATGCGAACCTATAGATGTGTGTTTATGTCGTGGGTCTGCGTGTGTGTGAGAATAGATACAGATACATCCCCATAACTACCTTGGGAATGTTACACTAAATGAGAGTTATTTTTGGTTAAAGATTTTGGAGATATTTACCTGTACCATGTGCTTTCATCACAATGGAGAAACATAAGCAGTCAGTTCCTTCCCAGCGGATCTTTCCACACAGATTTTGCTTGAGTAGAAGGGGTGGCAGTAGAGAAACTCAATGTAAAATGCCTAGACCTGTAATTATAAAAACAATTTCCCACTGAGTTAGGCAGCTTTCTGTGCCCTTCATTCACATTAGCTGAAGTCACGGAAAAGAGAAACATACTTGCATAATCTCTCTCTCATAGGCACGAGCATGCGCACACACGCACACACACACACACACACACACACACACACACACACACAAAATTCTTATGGCAGATGTCAAAACCTCAGCAAGCAGACCCATAGCAGGCCCTCATCTCCACAGTGAGTGGGGTTCTGGCCAGAGTTCATACCTCATCCCATCCTAACCTCAGGGATGTTACCATCAAGATGATGTCATCATCATCAAGATGATGTCGTTCCTTCCCATCCTTTCCTAATGATTCCAAAACTTCAGAGAAAAAAAAAAAAGAGTTCTCCCCCAGAAAATGTCTGAAATATTAGTGAATATGATGGTCTCTGAAGATTCCTTCCAGCCACAGAGTTAAACAAATTCAGTACCTGTTTTTACCATAACAGCCTGGCTTCCAGTTTTGCAACTATACATGCCTCTCTGTTGATGACTCAGGTACAGCCCGGTATTGGGGATAAAATTCAAAGTTATCACTAACAGTTACCAAACACTTACTACGTTCTTAGCTTTATGCATGTTACCCCCACTGTACTGCACTCTGCAAAGTAGCTAGCAATCATTATTATCTCTGCTATTGACAAGAAATCAGAGAATTTGGATAGCTAGCAGATGTTAAAGCCAGGATTTAAGCCAATATTGCTCACAGAGGCCATGCTGATAATTTTAGTACTGTACCATCTCTCCAAAATTGACCTTGCTATCAAAACGCCTGTATTCATTAAATATCAAATTGACATCATCTTATTTTTCCCCAGAATTTATATGTTATGTAGGTCTTAGCATTACTAACTCTTTTTGGATGTGGCTATCCTTTGATTTTAATTCTCAAGCTTGGGATGCCTGGGTGGCTCAGTGGTTGAGTGTCTGCCTTTGCCTCAGGTCGTGATCACGGGATCCTGGGATGAAGTCCCACATCAGGCTCCCCACAGGGAGCCTGCTTCTCCCTCTGCCTATGCCTCTGCCTCTCTCATGAATAAATAAATAAAAAATATTAAAAAACACAATTCCCAAGCTAAATTGAACTCAACATGTTCCTATTTCAATCAAGAGTAAATTCATAGTTATTTCAGTCAATTAAAAATGCCAACTAATCCCAAATCCAGATGCCAAACCACAAAGGAAAAACCTAAAATCCAAGTCCTCTCTAAATGGTTACATTTTATTGGAAAGAAAACAGATTAACAAAATCTGAAGCCATATGTGAATCCCTAATTTAAGACGTGGAAGTCAAGAAAGGAATTTCTCTATATTATAATGTCTATGGTTTTAAAAAATACTTAAACATATCTACCTATTTACAAATTCTATATAATACAGGTTTTAGAATCACTGCAACACAGAATAGGTGTAAGCATATCAAGGAACCAGTGAAGTTATTTATGGGTCACACACTAATTTCCCTTTTGGACATGTGTGTATGTGTGTGTGTGTGCATTTATTTGCACTATTCTGGTTGTATCTCTGTGTTTTCATGCATGCCACTTTCTTTGATTAGCATGCCTTTTTCTACTTGCCAACTAGAAAATGCCTATTCATTCCTCAAGGCCAACCTCAAACCTCAATTCCTTATGATATCCACTCCCCCCAATCTGGTGTTTTCTGGAAATCCAAGCAGTGGATTCTGCTCTCTCCTGTTTTCCTAGCTCAGCAATGGGTGCCAACATCACCCTGACATCTTCCTCTCCCTAATGATGCCCCACACCCACCCAGCCAGTCATGAATTCTACCAACAGCACACCACCCTCTACCTCTCCCCTACACCACCCCCCTGCTCTAGGCCTCCAACTAGCACGACTCATCCAGACTACTACAAGGACCTCCCAAATGGTCTCCCTGTTTCTACTCCTGTCACCCTACAGTCCATCCTCAGCTCCTACTTATGGTAATGCAATGGTTTTCCATCAAGCTAGGTTCTTAATGTGGCCTCCAGGGTCCAGTATGGTCCAGTCCTTGTGCTCTTTTTTCCAGCCTGCACTCTAGCTTTTCCAGTTCACTTTTAATTCCTAAAAAGCACTTTGCTCTCCTAGGCCTCAGGACCTTTGCATGTGATCTCCTCGTCATTAAGACTTCTCCCCAAATCACCCACCTTCTTCAAATGACATGATATTCTTTTCTCCTTCAGATCTCAGATCAGAGTCCTCTTCTCTCCGGGGGAGCCCATCCTGCTCTCCGGGGGAGCCCATCCTGATCTCCATGGCCAGGTCACTACCTCCTACTCCATGCTTTGATGGAAGCACTTTCCCTTTTTATACTAGACACCTTTATAATTTTACCTTTTTTTTTTTCGCTAGATTTGTTGATTAATGTTTATTTCTCCTACTAATTAGTAAGCTCCAGGAAAGCAAAACTGCGTATGTTCTTGTCCACCCTTTTAGCCTCAATATTCAACACATGCTTGGCACATGATAGACACTCTGTGGAAATCTGCTGAATGAATAAATGAGAAAAGGAAGGAGAGAAGGAAGGAAGACCATCCCTTATCATAATTTAATTAGCATTTGCTGAATTAATTTGTTGATAGCTTTTCAACACACAGAATATAAGGTCTGTATTCCTTTGGACAGCAGGTGAGGCTCCTTGAGATCTGCCCCTAGGCAGCTGTGTCACTGCTCTAGCTGCCCTGGATGCTCAGCATCTCTGAAACCCTGTGGCTTCCTTTTTTTTTTTTTTTTTTAAAGATTTTATTTATTTATTCATGAGAGACAGAGGCAGAAATACCGGCAGAGGGAGAAGAAGCAGGCTCCTTGCAGGGAGCTTGTTGTGGGACTCGATCTCAGGACCCCGGGATCACGCCCTGAGCCGAAGGCAGACGCTCAACCCCTGAGCCACCCAGGCGCTCCTTCCTGTGGCTTCCTGATCTGACCAACCCTGCCTCGCCCGCCCTTGCTTATCTCCACCCGCTAGTCTACTCTGTCCTCTCTACACATCATCTTTTCAAACTCCTTCTTCAAGTCTCAGATATAGGACTCATTTCTGTAAAGACCTCTCTAATACTTCCTAGGAAGCTGGTGCCCTCTTTCCCCATTTTTCTACAACATCCAGTACTTTCCCTATTAAAGCAATTATCATGTTTTCTTGTACTTTTATCTTACATTTTGTCTTAAATGTAAGTCCCTTAAAGGCAAAGGACTGTACTATCTCCAGAGTTTAGCACAGCAGCCTATAACACATAGTCTACAATTCAATATTTGTTCAATGAACAAAAGAACATATATATACATGTATATACACACGCATATACACGTGTGTACTTGCATATATAGACACACATATCTATTATACATATAAATTTCATATGTTCAAAGTTTCAGTTGAATATTTAAGTGTTATTAACATAGTATATTTTAATTATTATTATTTAATTATATATAATGGTTATAAATCCATCTGTAAAGTGGGCATAAGAACACCTCCTTTAACTGTGCACTTGGGGAAATTAAATAATATAAATAAAATATTTAGCACAGAGCTCAGCATTTTAGAAGCACTGCATAAATATTAACTGCATAATCATTATCACTATCAACATTGTCATTAGGGCAACCGAGTTGAATTTATAATCCATGCTCCAAATTTAATAGTTTTATTGGCCAACGTTTTTTCCTATTAAAACATTAATTAGCATTACCCTCTCTGTTAAGCCATAAAAATGGCTGAAGTTTACACCTAGCAAAATAGGAATAAAGAAGAGCCTTACTCACTATAGCTAAAGGACAAATTATTTCAGTAATCTGTCATATATGTGTAGAGGTACGAAAGCATCAACAGAAAAGAAGCATTTCTATATAAAAATTATCTATAAAATCTAAATGATTGAAACAACAAATATTATCATTCCAATGCTATAAACATTTAGCTGAGATAATTAGGAATTCTTACAATAAATTATTTCTTTCACTAAAAAAACAAGATAGAAATACATATTCGTCCCTTTTAATCACTGGACAGAGTAATGTGACTTGATAAATACGTATCACATATTTGCCTTAATGAATATGCCATAAGATGCTTGAATTAACAGCAAACACATTTCATGTGTCATCTATTAGATGCCATTCTGATTTTGAATTGCTGAAATTTAAGGAAATAGACTATGCAAGACGGAAAAACAGGCAAGGTAACTTTGCAACAGTTTTTTGGAAAAAAAAAAATACCGTGACAATGAACTGTTTACTACAATTGCTACCAGTACACGCTTGAGCAGAATGAACTGGTAATAATTTATCCTTTACAAAGCAAACTTATAAGTTGGCCCTTTACTGCTCTTTCTCTTGCATACTGGCCAAATGTGCATAATGAATACTAAAGTATTTTGTACACTGTAAAGTGCTGAAATATAACATACTAGCATCATTGCATTTTATGATTTCTATTCTCAGTTTACCTTTAGCTCTGTAACACATGAAAACAAGTCAGGGGCACTTGGGTGGCTCAGGGATTGAGCGTCTGCCTTTGGCTCAGGTCATGATCCCAGGGTCCTGGGATCGAGCCCCACATCAGGTTCCCTGCAGGGAGCCTGCTTCTCCCTCTGCCTATGTGTCTGCCTCTTTCTCGCTCTGTCTCTCATGAATAAATAAACAAATAAAATCTTTAATTAAAAAAGCAAGTCAGATTTCTAATTGAGGTTCACCCATCTTCTGAAACGTAGCAGAGTTACAGAGGGAAAATACAAAAATGCTTAATTCTTAACTTCTGTTTTACTGCTAGAATATTAAACTAGTTTTAGAGTTCTAATTCTATTCATCGGCCACAAGCACTGAGCACTTTAACATGGTGCAAACAGGTTGTTCTCTGGAACATAACTGAGACAGAAAGGTAGAACAAATTGAGCAAAAAAAAAAAAAAAAAGAAAGTCTCAATTTACTTAGATCAGTGTTATCTGAATTTACTATTA